GTTGTTTCCCGGCACAGGCGGCTCCATCAAGGTGGAGATGTCGTCGGACGAGGATTCCCGGAGCCGCGGAGCCGCCGAGGATTCGCCCCCGGAGCCGTTCCCGGATCCGCCCGGGATTCGCCTTCCCAACGGGAAACTACAGTGTGACATCTGCGGGATGCTGTGCATCGGCCCCAACGTGCTGATGGTGCACAAGCGCAGCCACACCGGTCAGAATTCCCAAAAAAACCCGGGAATTCTGCGGGAAAAAATGGGAATTCTGGGGGTTCTGGGAGTCCTGGGAATGGGGAATTTGGGAATTCTGGGGTCGGGAATTTGGGAATTCCGCAGTGCGGGATGCTGTGCATCAACCCCAACGTGCTGATGGTGCACAAGCGCAGCCACACCGGTCAGAATTCCATGGAATTCCATGGAAAAATGAGAATTCCAGGAATTCTGGGATCCCTTCCCATCCCAACCCTGCAATCCCTGGTTTGGGTTTGTGGTGCTGGGAATGATTCCCATTGGAATTCCGGGATTTTCCGGGATTTTCCAGGAGAACGGCCGTTCCAATGCAGAATTAGGGTTTTTTTGGGATAATTTGGGATAATTCCCATTGGGAATTCCGGGATTTTCCAGGAGAACGGCTGTTCCAGTGCCAGCAGTGCAGGATTGGGATTTTTTGGGATAATTCCCGATGGAATTCCGGGATTTTCCAGGATTTTCCAGGAGAACGGCCGTTCCAGTGCAGAATTAGGGTTTTTTGGGATAATTCCCGATGGAATTCCGGGATTTTCCATGTTTTTCCAGGAGAACGGCCGTTCCAATGCAGAATTAGGGTTTTTTGGGATAATTCCCGATGGAATTCCGGGATTTTCCATGTTTTTCCAGGAGAACGGCCGTTCCAATGCAGAATTAGGGTTTTTTGGGATAATTCCCGATGGAATTCCGGGATTTTCCATGTTTTTCCAGGAGAACGGCCGTTCCAGTGCCAGCAGTGCAGGATTGGGGTTTTTTGGGATAATTCCCGATGGAATTCCGGGATTTTCCATGTTTTTCCAGGAGAACGGCTGTTCCAGTGCCAGCAGTGCGGTTTTAGGGGATAAATCAGGATAATTCCCGATGGAATTCCGGGATTTTCCATGTTTTTCCAGGAGAACGGCCGTTCCAGTGCCAGCAGTGCGGTTTTAGGGGATAAATCAGGATAATTCCCGATGGAATTCCGGGATTTTCCATGTTTTTCCAGGAGAACGGCCGTTCCAGTGCCAGCAGTGCGGCGCCTCGTTCACGCAGAAGGGAAATCTCCTGCGTCACATCAAGCTGCACTCGGGGGAGAAACCCTTCAAGTGTCCCCTGTGCTCCTACGCCTGCCGGCGCCGCGACGCGCTCAGCGGCCACCTCCGGACACACTCCGGTACTGGAATGTCGGGATAACGGGAATGTCGGGATAACGGGAATGTCGGGATAAGGGGAATCT